CATTTCGTTTAAAGCGTTTTTCAGCTCCTCGTGACTGTTCCTTAGTCCCTTGATCTCTGTAGCAAGAGATTCTCTGCTGTCAGCTATACTGTTTTCAAGCACAGCGATTAGTTTTATGACTATTATTCTAAATTCACTTTCTGTTATATTATTTAAATCCTTTTTGATCAGCTCATTAGCTGTTGTTATTTCCTGGAGATTCTTCTGAGGGGAATTCTTCCGCTTGGTCATTTTGGATAGTCCCTGGCGTGGTGAGGACCTGCAGGGCACTTCCCCTTTGCTGTGGTGTATAACTGGAGTTGGTGGGCGGAGCCGCAGTCAGACCTGATGTCTGCCCCCAGCCCATTGCTGGGGCCACAGTCAGACTGGTGCGTGCCTTCTCTTCCCTTCTCCTAGGGGCGGGATTCACTGTGGGGTGGGGTGGCCTGTCTGGGCTACTTGCACACTGCCAGGCTTGTGATGCTGGGGATCTGGCGTCTTAGCTGGGGTGGGTAGGCAAGGTGCACAGGGGCAGGAGGGGCAGGCTTAGCTTGCTTCTCCTTAGGTGATCCACTTCAGGAGGGGCCCTGTGGCAGCAGGAGGGAGTCAGATCCGCTGCTGGAGGTTTGGCTCCGCAGAAGCGCAGAGTTGGGTGTTTGCGCGGGAGCAAGTTCCCTGGCAGGAACTGGTTCTCTTTGGGATTTTGGCTGGGGGATGGGCCGGGGAGATGGCGCTGGCGAGCGCCTTTGTTCCCCACCAAACTGAGCTCTGTCGTCCGGGGGCTCAGCAGCTTTCCTTCCCTTTGTCCTCCAGCCTTCCCGCTTTCTGAGCAGAGCTGTTAACTTATGACCTCCCAGCTGCTAAGTCGCGCTTGCTCTCGGAACACAGTCCGTCAGGCCCCTCCGCTTTTTGCAAGCCAGACTCGGGGGCTCTGCTTGGCAGGCGAGCCGCCCCTCCTCCCCGGCTCCCTCCCGCCAGTCCGTGGAGCGCGCACTGCCTCGCCGCCCTTCCTACCCTCTTCCGTGGGCCTCTCGTCTGCGCTTGGCTCCGGCGACTCCGTTCTGCTAATCCTCTGGTGGTTTTCTGTGTTATTTAGGCAGGTGTATAGGTGGAATCTAAGTGATCAGCAGGACGCGCGGTGAGCCCAGCGTCCTCCTACGCCACCATCTTCTATAATATTCCTGTTATGGACATCATAACAGTATTACTTCTTCTGGCCTATTGCGTGGCATGTCTTTCTATTTATTTGTTCTTCCTTGATTCTTTCATTAGTGTCTTACAGTTTTCAATATATAGATCTTTCACCACTTTGGTTAAGTTTATTTCTAGGTATTTTATTCTTTTCATGGAATTATAAATGGATTGTGTTCTTAATTTCTTTTTCTGATGCCCTATTACTGCTGTAAAGAAACCCAACAGGTCTTTGTGTATTGATTGTGCATCCTGCAACATTAGTGAATTTGTTTATTAGATCTAACAGTTTTTTGATCAAGCCTTAAGGGTTTTCTATATATATATCATGTCATCATGTCATGTCATCATGTCATCAAATAGCTTCAGATTTACTCCTTCCTTTCCAATTTGGATGCCTTTTATTTTATTTTCCTGAATAGTTGCTCTAGCTAGGACTTCCAAAACTATGTAGAATAAAGTTGTGAGAGTGGGCATCTGTGTCTTATTCCTGATCTTAGAGGAAAAGCTTCATCTTTTCACCATTAAGAATGATGTTAGCTGTGGGGTTATTCTATATGGTCTTTATTATGTTCGGGTACATTCCTTCTATACCCACTTTTTGAGCATTTGTATTATAAGTGGATTTTGAATTTTGTCAAGTGCTTTTTCTGCATCCTTTGAGATGATCATATGATTTTATCCTTCATTTTGTTGATGTGGTATGTTACATTGACTGGTGATTGTCGATAAATCCCACCTGATCATGATATATTAGTTTTTAATATATTATTGATAATTTAGTTTGCTATTATGAATTTGATAATATTTTGCTGAGAATTTTTCATATCTATGTTTATCAGGAATATTGGCTTATGATTTTCCTGTGGTGCTCTTGTCTAATTTTGGTATCAGGGTAATGCTAGCTTCATAAAATGAGTTTGGAAGAATTCCCTGCTCTTCTAGTCTTTGTAAGAGATTAAGAAGGATTAGTATGTATTCTTTTGTGAATGTTTTATAGAATTCACCAGTGAAGCTGTTGGATCTTGGACTTTTGTTTGTTGGGAGGTTTTTGATTACTGATTCAGTCATCTTACTAGGAATTGATCTGTTCAGATTTTCTAATTCATGATGATTCAGTCTTGGTGGGTTGTATGTTTTTAGGAATGTATCCATTTCTTTTGATTGTCCCAGTTTGTTGGCATATAATTGTTCCTAGTAGTCTGTTATGATCCTTTGTATTTCTGTGGTATCAGTTGTAACATTTCTTTGATTTTTGATTCTATTTATTTGAGTCCTCCTCCTTCTAGTGAGTCCAGCTAAAGGTTTGCCAATTTTGTTTATCTTTTCAAAGAATCAGCTCTTAGTTGTATTGATCTTTTCTATTGTCTGTTTTTTATTTCATTTATTTTTGCTCCAATCTTTGTTATTTTCTTCCTTCTAATAACCTTGACCTTCCTTCTTTTTCTGGTGCCTTGGGGTGTAAAGTTATGTTGTTTATTTGAGACTTTTCTTATTTTTTGCGGTAGCATTTATCCATTTTATCTTCCCTCTTCAAACTGCTTTTGCTGTATCCCATAAATTTTAGTAAGTTACATTTCCATTTTAATTTGTCTCAAGGTATTTTTTTAAATTTTTCTTGATTTCCTCTTTGAAACATTGGTTGTTGAGTAGCAGGATGTTTATTTATTTTTTTTAATTTTTTAATGTTTATTTATTTTTGAAAGAGAGAGAGATAGAACACAAGGGAAGGGCAGAGGGTGAGGGAGACACAGAATTGGAAGCAGGCTCCAGGTCCTGAGGTGTCAGCACAGAGCCTGATGTGGGGCTCCAACCCATGAGCCTTTGAGCCGTGAGATGATGACCTGAGCCAAAGTCAGCTACTCAACCAAGTGAGCTACCCAAGCGCCCTGTAGCATGATGTTTAATCTCCACATATTTGTGAATTTCATTTTATTCTTGTGATAAATTTCTAGTTCCATATCATCGTGTCAGAAAAGGTGCTTGATATGGTTTCAGTCCTCTTAAATTTATTAAGACTTGTTTCATTGCCTAACATATAATCTGTCTTGGAAAGTGTTTCATGTGCACTTGAGAAGAATGTGTATTCTGTTGCTTTTGAGTGGAATGTTCTATAAACATTTGTTAAGTCCATCTGGTCTAACATGTTGTTTAAGGCTGATGTTTCCTTTTTTATTTTCTATCTGGATAATCGATTCTTTGATGTAAGTGGAATATTAAAGTCCTCTATGATTATTGTGTTGCTGTCTATTTCTCTCTTTAAGGCTGTCAATATTTGCTTTAAGCATGTAGGTGTTTTTGTGTTGGCCACATAAATATTTACAATGTTGCATCCTCATGTTGGATTGACCCTTTTTATCATTATGTAACACTCTTCTTTGTCTCTCATTACATTCTCTGTTTTAAAGTGTGTTTTATCTAGGCGTGCCTGGGTGGCTTAGTCAGTGAAGCATCCAACTTCAGCTCAAGTCACGATCTCACGGTTTGTGAGTTCTAGCCCCTCATTGGGCTCTGTGCTGACAGCTCGGCGCCGGGAGCTGCTTCAGATTCTATGTCTCCCCCTCTATCTGGGCCTTCCCCTCGAGCTCTGTCTCTCTGTCTCTCTCAAAAATAAATAAACATTAAAAAATTTTGTAAAAAAGGTGTGTTTTATCTGAAGTAAAGTCTGTTTTGTCTGATATGTCTAGTAATTTTTAACTATATGTTGGACATTTTACATTATCCAGTTTAGTGAGTCTGCATATTGTTGCCTTCCTTTTAAAGGGAGTTAACTTCAGTTGCGGTAGGCGGTTAAAGCATTTATGGATATATATTTTTTCTGCTTTAATTTCATTCTCTTTTAGGACAAGCCATTTTAGTTTTCAACTCTTAGTGCATGCCCCTACCCCAAGGCATTATGTTCACTCCTAGTGCACACTCTCTGAGATTCTCAGTTAGGTCTCATTTTGGCTGGGCTGAGACTCCAGTGTCTTTCACCGATGCATGCACTTAGTGTCATCATGCAGCTCTTAGCCTTACAGCTGGTGATCTCTGCTAGGTTTTTCAGTCTTTCCCTGTGTGTGTGACACCGTGTACTTGCCCACAGACCTGTGGTTAATTCTCACATAGACTTCTTTCCCCAGGTTCCTCCCTATAACATGTATATATACATAGCTTCTTCTCAGTACTTTTCATCATGAATTCCAACTTCAGTTCTAATCTTTGCCTCCTCACTCAGCAAAAGAGCTTCTTCATTTGGTCTCTACTGTTCTGAAGTGGTAAGCTGCTTTCAGATGGGAAACCACTGTGAGTGTAGATGCACCATATATGTTTCCCATCTCTGAGAGGCAGGCTTAAAAACAGGTACTTCATATGTATTGTCCAGTTTTCTGATTATCTATGGGAGAGCAATTTTATATAAATTCTTCTGTAATATACCCTGGATTGACTTACTCTTCTTACTTTTGAAAGTAAAAAAAGTTCACATAATTCTCTTTAGGTATGTGTTCAATTTTACCACTTATTACTTTAGATTTAACTTCTTTAGATTTCATGATAACAATCTGGCACAAACTGTTCTAAATTCTTTATACACATGATCTCATTTAACCCTCACCCAGTAAGAGGTATGAGCCTGAATCACAAAGCAATTGTGGGAAAAATATATATTCTAATAGTGGAGTCTGTATTCTTAATACAGCCTCTTTTTAAAAGCACACTGTATTCTGCAGAATAAATATTTTTGTTGCTTTCCTTTATTACCTAATCAATAAATAAATGGTCATTTATAAATGATTATTGTTCTCTCTGTATTACCTTTCATAATGGTTTTTATTTTTTATTTTCTGTAGATCTTACAAGTGCCATTAAGTGGTTTAATGCATGTTATTCTCTCCACGAATTGTCTCTCACTGGAAACCCACTTCTTCAAGAAGTAAACTGGAGGTAAGAAACATTGTTGCACCCTATTATGTACTTTATTATAGTTACAGAAAACACAGTTTGATGAAAATTTCTCTGTGCCTATTAATTTCTTGGAAAAAGTTAATAAAATAATTTAAAAGTTATTCAAAACAAGACATTTTTTGTAAAATTAGTTTTAAAAATATCTTCAACCTACAATAATTTTTTTGCACATGTGTGAAATAATGCAAATTTAAAATGATTATTTTGATCCATACCATTAATTATGTGACAATTTTAGTATGATGTTCACTTGGGTCTTGTCTTCATAGAAAACACATTTTTATTGGGAATGACTTTTTATAAGTTATCTAAATCACAAAACTTGCTAATTAAAATTATTTTTTTCTCCCAGTAATTTGATTTTATTTTCTTAAAAGAGAAATTTGGTGTCTGTTAAAGTACAGATTGTAAGATATGTGAATTCATACCTCTCTTTAAAATATTGCAGTACCTAGACCTAATAGAAGAAAAATATTTTATAATTTTTTAGAATGGATTTTTTTTATAAAAAAAGTTTCTCTAATTTGAAACTCTCATATTATGCTAATACCATTACCCTCAAAACTGACCAACATCTTTTTTCATGATGAGCTTTTTTGAAATACTTTTCATATGACAAACTTCATCAGTTTTATTTAGAAGTATGAGTATGGTGTACAAACCACCACGATCAAGACATTAAACATTTTTATCACCTTAAAAAATTGCCTAGTGCCCCTTTGGAGTCAGTCACCTCCTCCAGTTCTTTAAAAAAGTCTCTCCACTCTTATGGCTTTCATTTTTTTCTGATGAGAAGTCTGCCAACATTCTCTCTGGAGATTTCTAAGATTTTTCTATCACGGTATTCAGCAATTTGAATTTGATTATAATGTATTTTGCTGTGGTTTTATGTAGATTATTTTTCTTAAGAGCTATTGAATCAGGGCCTCTGGGTGGCTCAGTCAGTTAAGAGTTTGACTCTTAATTTTGGCTCAGGTCATGATCTCAGGGTTGTAAGATCAAGCCCTGTGTGGGGCTCCATGCTCCAATGTGGAGCGTGCTTAAGATTCTCTCTCTCTCTGCCCCTCCCCTGCTTGTGTGCGTGTGCATGAGATCTGTTGAACCTCTTGAATCTGATGAATTTGTAGTTCTCATAAAATTTAGAAATTTTTTGGCCATTATTTTTTCAAATATTTTTTCTGCCTCCCCCCATCTTGTCCTACTAGGACTCCAATTTTACCAATATTTGGCCACTTGATATATTCTAGAAGTTGCTATTGCTCTGTTCATGATGCATGGTGTCTGTGTATATATACATACATATATATATATATATATATATATATATATATTATACTTTTTTCTGTTTGTACTTCACTCTTAACAGTTATTGTTATATCTTCAAGTTCTCTGATATTTTCTTCTTATATATCTATTTTGATATTAAAGTCCAGAATTAATCAGTTCAGAGTTCAGATACTGTGGTTTTCATCCTAGAAGTTTCATTTATTTTTTTAACATTTGCAGTTTCTCTCCTAATCATACTCATGATGTTTTCCTGAATCATCTTGAACATATGGAGAATATTTATAATAGCTGTTTTAAAATCCTTATCTGCTAGTTTCATCATCCATGTCATTTTGGGGCCTATTTTTATTGACTTTCACCCCAATTTTGGGTCGTATTTCCCTGCTTCTTGCATGCTTCATCATTTTGGTGGTATTCTGGACGTCTTAAATTTTATACTGTTGATTTCTTAATTTTGTTCATTTTTTTAGATAACATCTATTTTTTTTCTGACATGTAACAGTTATGTTAAATTAGGGAGATGCTTTTAAAGCTTGCTTTTAGTATCTGTTAGGGAAGTCTCAAAGAAATCTTTTGACTGGTGCCAATTTAGCTCTACTGCTATGGCACTGACTTCCTGAGTATTTTCCCTACTTCTTCTTATATACATCCTTTCAATTTTTGCTGATAGGAATTACTCCCAGCCTTATATATATTCTTGTAATTTTTCAACTTTTTCTTTCCCACTGATTCCTGCCCTTGGCTTACATGGTTTTTTTCTCATACACCCTCAGATCATTTTTCATTTACCCAGATCCAATTGAATTAAATCCCAGAATTATGAAAAGCTTTGAAAATGCTCACTTTTCTAGCACTGGTGATGATTCTGATCTAAATTCTTGTCTTTTGTATGTCTAGCAGTGTGTATTTGTAAGATGGTTTAACATGGTTTATTGTACATTTGACATTTGTATCATATCAAGTCATGGGTACATCAAAACAGAACAAGGTAAGAATAGACAAGGCTTGTAGCCTAATTTAGCAAGATAAGTTTGACAACACACTAAGTATAGAGAAAGGCAAATATTTACTGAAATTTTGGTAGAAAACCCATTTCAGGATACTCGGAGTTTAGATCAAATATGTAAATCTTATCAATTTGATCAGGTAGCGAAAATACAGCCCTTATGAATAAAATATAGACAAAAAAGAGTGAATAATTGAAAAAAAAAAAAAGGTTGTGACATCCAATCCTAGGGCATAAGCAGTTGACTGTTCTGATTCGATTTTCCTGTGATGTGTGGCCATAGCCTGGAAGATCCTTGTTCTGATGACTTCCAACGGAGTATACCTTACAGGAAAACCAATGATCTGGTCATGCTTAAAATTCCTATATCTGACTTAATCCACTTGTAGAACAGGTTAAGAAAGTCTAGGAAGTAATCTCTTTCCCTCCGTTGTCTGAGGCCACTGCACACCTCTGACACCCTCTTTCACATGTATTGATTCTGTGAATTTGTTAATTGGTCTTTGGTTAAGAAAATAGCATTTTATATCAAGTCAAACACCTGTGTAATTTGCTACTTGTTGATAGTTCATTTATTACAGAAGAGTTATCTTTGCAGTAAATCTATTTTTCTATATTCTTTAAAGCTCTGTTTCCACATTAATTTCTAATGCTATACCATTTTTTAGGGAAACCTGGTATGTTTTACATGTTTTAGAACAGAACTTGCCAACTTCTACTTTAGAAATATCTTTTTCCAAGTGCAATTTAAGCTGTGTACTATAAAGGAGAGAGGACAACCCATTGAAGTGGTTTTTGAAGATACATCCCTAGATGAGAAACTTCATCATCACTTGGAAACTTTTAGAAATGAAAAATCTTGGACACTGTCCAGACCCACTTAATCAGAAGGACCTAGGGGATGATGTTTATTAATGTGTGCTTCAACAAGCCCTTTGGATGATTTGATGCACGCTAAACTTTGGAATCACTGTATTTTTAAACAAGGACATCCTGTTCTTGCCTCATACCATGTGGTCCTGGACAAGTAACAACTTTCCTATGTCTCCAAATCCTCATTGGTAAAATAAGGATAATAATAGTACCTATCTTATGGGGTAGTTATGGTAATTGAATGGAACAATACACATATTTTGTTGAGAGTAATTTCTAGAACATGGTAAGCATACAGAAGTCTACTATTTTCCATGTCTAGGCTAACCACACTATGGTGTCTCATTAAGTCACCAAATATTTAGTGTATGCCTACTATATCCAACCATTCTAACATTTTGGATTCTCTAAAGGAAATTCTATATAGTCCATGATTTCAAACCATGTTTATAATCTTTATAGGGATATAAAATATATGCAAAAAATGATAGCCATGAAAACTAATAATGATAACAAACACTGTTATAGCATTTACTTTGTGGCCGTTTAATACAATGTATAATAAAATAGCTACCTAGTGTCCCCATTTTACAGGTAGGGAAACAGAATCACAAAAGGGCTAAATAACTTGCCCAAGTTTACACAGCTAGCCACTGGAAGAGCCAGGATTCAAACAACCTGACTTCAGTTGTGCTTTTTAACACTTAAATTTCAGTACCTAATACATATGTCAGATGATTGTTGTAGGCAACAGATATGCTTTAGAAATCCCATCCTAATTTAGAGTGACCAAGAAAACTACTTTTGCTGAAGAGGCAGACTTTGGATTAAACCTCAGAATTTTAGTAATATTTAAAATCAAGTTAAGGGGCGCCTGGGTGGCGCAGTCGGTTGAGCGTCCGACTTCAGCCAGGTCACGATCTCGCGGTCCGTGAGTTCGAGCCCCGCGTCAGGCTCTGGGCGGATGGCTCAGAGCCTGGAGCCTGTTTCCGATTCTGTGTCTCCCTCTCTCTCTGCCCCTCCCCCGTTCATGCTCTGTCTCTCTCTGTCCCAAAAATAAATAAACGTTGAAAAAAAAATTAAAAAAAAAATAAAATCAAGTTAAAAGAAAAAAAAGCACTTCCGATGGAGGAAATGTCCAAGAAAATGAGGGAATATGAAAGGCGAGGTTAGGCTCTGGTCTATTCAGGCGTAACGTAGATATAGTGGAAAATACTTTTGGAAGTAAATAAGAAATCAAGTATATACATTTACAATGGGTCAGGGAATGGGCTAAATACCTACACATATTACTTCACAGCAACTCAGCTGAGTTCTGTAATTATCATTCTGATTTTATGGGGGTATTTACTGAAGCTTAGATGCCTTGTGATTTGTTCAGTTCTGTAAATGTCAGAGAAGGGTTTTGAGTTCTAAGGCCTGGAATTTAAATACTTGCTTTACTGTTTCATATGATATATTGCTACCAGATTGTAAAGGGCCTTGTATGCTCGGATAAGGTGTCTTCTTTATCCTGTGGTCATGGAGAGACCTATTAGCATACTGGGTGTACATGTAGGTGTTGTGAGTAAACTGCTCGGGTGCATATCTAGTTCCACCACTTCCTAGCTGTTTGCCTTGCACAAGTTACTTAATCGTGCTATGTCTCAGTGTCTTCATCTATAGAATGCATATAATAATAGTAGCTACCTCAGGATTTATTCATTAAGGTAATAGAGGTTATACCACACAACAGCAAACCCAGAAATCTATGTGGTTTAATACAATAGAAGCTTATTTTTGGTTTATATTGCATCTGATGTGAGTTCATCCT